AATTCAACATAAAAAAATTAATTGTACTACATTTGGATCATCTCGGGAAATTTTTTGGATGCTACCCTAACAAGGATTTTCACTAAAATTGATCGTTTGCGCAGAAAACTCAAGTTTAAATATGTGGTGATGAATATTGACCTAAAGTAGTAACTTCGTACAAAAGCGAACTCTGCAAAATTTCGACCATTTACGTCTATTTTTGTATCCTGCCCCATGTTAGGATTAAACTTGCACTATATTAGGTTGCATATGTAGAAAGAAGATATCATTTTTGTGTTCTATAATAAAAATAGGAATTGTGTTGGACATTGCGGTGTGGGGGGGATTCAAAGGTCAGCCTTGCCCGACTATAATGTTCTTACTAGTCCTGTGTATGTATGTAAACTGCACGATGGTCGTAAGAACTTATGGCTTATGTAAAATAAGATTATTGAAATAGTTTATATATAGAAAATAAAATTAATGAATTCTTCAAACAAATTCAATGTGAGCAACAAGGAAAGAAAGTAAGTATTTATAAAAGTATTATATTTTTCTGATAATGTAGGATTTCTATTTTTTTCTTCTATTGTTGTTCATGGTTATGCCATTTACGCGGTTCACTGATTCTTATAATAATTTTTGTGCTAAAATGTGCTAACAAACGTGAGCAGTAAGTTTTTTCAGTTTTTGTTTTCATTTCCGTTAAGCATATAAAAAACCACATTCCTAGCAACGCAAACGGATAGCATCGGATAAAGTCGAATTAAAATAATGAGAACAATTACTTAGAACTTTAAAAAAAAAAAACCAACCATAATACCATTCACAAAGAAAAAAGTAAATGTAAGTCCCTTCTGGTACCAAGCATATTAAGATTGTGCGTAAGCAATATCCATTCCATTACAGATACCGACTAGGAACAACATTCTATTTACCCGTTTAAATGACATTTGTCGAGCTATATTTGTGTTCCACCCTCGAAAACTAAGGCCTGATTGAGATTGATGAACAAGCAGATAACGAGATAGATGGATGAGCATAGAAGCCTAAGCGTTAACTAGATATAATATAAGGCAGGCCTATCTTAAGCGTTTTTAGGTCTTGCATAGAAGCTCACAAAGTTAAAACTCAATATTTGTATCACATATGGCCTACGATATAAGAGCACCTAAGAGAATTGAATCTCCTTAGCCCAGTAGGTAAGAATTGCGTCAAGTCAGAGGACGCGGGTTCAAATCTTGAGTTTACTTTCATCGCAGCTATAACTGAATGGTTAGTCGAGAAAGTCACAGCACTTATCCATTGAGCAGAGACATCCACTTACTTCTTTCTGACCGTCAAAACGTTACGCGATTAACGATCAACATCTGAGTGATTGCGTGATATTCTTTCCCTAAATTAAAATTTCGCTATTCAATGGGAAGTTCCTGGGCTCTTATATGAAATATGCTTGCAAAAATTATCTTCAAGTCTTGGATCAATAAAAAAATTGCTTAAATTAAAATTCGACTTGCTGGCCCGCTCACGGTGTTCCCGCAAGCGACTAATATCTATGTAGAACTTTTAAACGCTCAAACGAAACAAATTTCTACCTAATGATGAACTCACTGCAGAAACTGAAAAGGTATTTTAAGGGCCTGGAGAGATCCTTGTATAAAAAATCTTTCCGTCGAAATGCTATAGAAAGAACAATTATTGATGATGAATAAGACTATGTTGTGGAATTTTATAAAAAAAAAGAAACGGTTTTCGTCTTATTTAGTTGTGGCAATTATTAACCGATGTATTACGTATACGCTTTACCCGTTTTCTGGTACTTGTTTCATAGTATTACCAACAGAAGCAGAAATTTATTCTATAGCTCGATAATGGGTAAAACAAAGGATAGTTTTGAAAAGCTGTCACCTGCAATTTCTAACCCATATTTGATATCGATATAAAATTTGGTTGCAACAACAACAGCGATCTACCTGTATCCGTCAATTCCATTTTTCCTTGTTTTTTGCTCTTTTTCCATTAAACGAAGAAAATGGTCATCCGCAGTTAAACAGAAGCAATGCGCATACTTTTTGTGTGCCTTGAAAAAGAAGTTAACCTTTTTTTGTTTAGCCACCACAGCACGATGAGGCATATATACCTTTTTGTTCAAACGCTTGTAGCATTTAAAAAAAACGACGCAGATCTCATGCTCACAATTAGTAACAAATTTTGAATGGATGGATATTGTGGGTACATAAGTGTCTGCGTCCATCTGTCCGCCTGTGTTTCTCATGGTAAAAAATACTCAACCTTTTTTTTACACGGTAGATACGTTCCTTAGAAAACAGTGTAAAAAAAAAAACATTTTAAAATTTGCATGACATATGCTAATTTAGTAATATATTCTACAGCTTTAAAAAATCGTGGAAAATGAAAAAACTCTAAATACTTGCTAAAAACAACCGCACAAAAAAAATAATAATGAAATCCTTATTACGTATGTCTAAGCCAAAAACAACTTTTTTTTATTACAAAATGATATTAAACTTAGTGTACAGTGAAAATTCAATCCATAATTACGACATATAATAATTTAAATTGAAATTAAGTATAAAAATAATCTTAGCAACCCACAGCGGTTATTACGGACTGAACCAATGAAATGCTGCCATCGGCCGTTACGTCCAGTTACAACTCGATACTTGTGCTAGAATTTCTCTCGTCACTAACAGCCTCTTTCTGTAATGCCTATTATTAACAGCTGAGTACAGACCGACCGATCACGGTATTTTCCTAAGTGTATTTTCCTCCTCTATGCATAAGACGTTATCAAAAGTAGAATTGAAAAAAACATTTTTTTCGAAATTCGTACTAGAAGAATAAATTTGGCTAAATGTGTTTTTGTTCTTACCGACGAAACGTGTTATTTCAAAATTATATAAAAATTACCGTGTAAAAAAATAATTTGGTGTATACTTCATAAACTAGAATAAGAGTTTCAAATTTGGCGAATATATTGAAAGTTCTCGTACGCAAATCGGTACTTGAAATAGGTCAAATCGGTCGAAAGGCGTATCACCTAAAGTGCAATCTAAACCGAGAACTGTTCTATTATCAAAACATAAAAAAAAAATACGCTTTTCTACTCATTACTTACAAACTGCTATAAAGAGAACTTAATATAAAATTTTAACTTATATTTTATGAATGATCTTACCCTACATGAAAACGGAAAAGTCGGTCAAGCTTTTCCAATATCATAGAGTATTAAAATTTCATTTTATTCCTTTTTTCAAATTTTTTCTGTTTTAAAATAAAGATAATGGGTGTAACAGATTCGGTCATAACCAAACATAATTTTTCTATTCATTGTTACTTCTTTTTTCTCTTATCCTTTTTAGAGGCAAGTGCCATTGTTTGCATACTCTTCTAGCATAAACATTTCATATCAGGTTGAGAGGAGAGAATGCTCATAAAACGCATTGCATTGCACGTATGACCATAACATTTAATTCTATAAAAACCGCTTGGAAAATGATTAAAAATTTAAAAACCTATTAAATAAACTTTAAATCATTTAAACTTTTTCATGTGCGCATTACTCATCGTTAAAAGGAAAGGAAATGGTTACAACATTTTGTTGAGGACAGTTTAATGAAAATAGGAAAGTGTGAGAGCATTTGGAAGACAACGAATTTTTCATGAAGAACCTATATTTTCCATCTATAGGTTTTTACTTAGAAAAACATCACTCAAGATCCTTCTTTCCTAACATCAAAACATTGATTAGAAATTATTAACTAGTAAGAACAAGAATGACGTACCAAAAGGATCAGCGCTGGCTAAGAATATTTTGATTTTGTTAGCACTTGCATAAGGTGGCTAGAAACAAGCTTGCTTGACTCGGAAGAAACTATAAATGGACAGAAATTAGCCAGATTCACTAGAAAGATATTATGCGAGTTAGAATTACACTACGTAATTTAAAAAGAGAATTGTCTCTGCTGCTCAAAAATACCCTTAGCTAAATAGAAAAGGGCTCTTCCAGCTAGAAATGGATTAGGCAGGCTAAAAATGAGAATAAAAGTCGACTGCGCCGATTAGCAACGGGTCAGGTTGATTAACCGGTTAATTGTGCATGACGAACACATAGGTCATGAAAAGGCTACAAAATTTTGCTTTATGACGAATATATAAATCACGATCCGTCCGGCCGTCTTTGTTGGATTTCCTCAATCTACTTTAGTGTGTTTGTCATTGTATCAAACTATTTCATTCCAAACTTATTTCATATTACATATACTCTTTTGAAGAGGAGTATACCCGTCATCACTACTTAAATGCATATTTTCCTAAGAGGTCGATTCAATTAAATGGTAAAAAAGCGAATATTTTGGCTGCAGAATGATTTTTGATGACTACATATTTTTCATCACCCGTAAAGACTTGTGAGCATTGTCTTTTAATTAAGCGGTAAAAGGAAAATTTTCGAGGCTCCAAGCAATGCGATAATTTATGTAGTTGGGCATAGCATAAAGACAGTACTTTCAAATGAAGAAGTGCAGTTAGTTTACATCATACATTACTACTTATACTCTGTCTTAGAGAATAAATGAAACTAATTTGTAATCTCAATAGAAACAATTCACCTTAGCTGAGAAGGACATACGCTGAACAGGAATGGACTTAGTTAGCTAAAAAAGGTTCACTACTGAATAGAAATTAACTTGGAAGATCGATTGACTGAACAGATTAGAGCGTTGTAGAAATCAACCTGAGCTAGATAGCCAGATATGCCAGGCATGGTGACAGCAAATCTAAGCTCATTCGAAGCATAACATTAACAAAAAATATGGCCTCTTGAATAAAATAAAAAATATATATATATATAAAAATTTTAAGTCCAGGATTAATTATAACTCATTCGTCAACAATAATGTTTTTCATCCTTTTTTTTTTCTTTATTTCTTCTTAATACAATTGGTTTGTAATGTTTCACCATTCTAAGTAAAGGTAATGTTTTATCACTTTTTCAGAGATTTCCTTACCGAATGTTTATTTCCTTCACCGACTCGACCGTATGAATTGCCCTGGGAACAGAAAACAATGTGGGCCATTGTTTTCGGTATTATGTTGTTGGTGGCCATAACAGGAAATTGCATTGTCCTCTGGATAGTCACAGGTAATTATGTTGTGTTTACAGATAATAATAATGTGTGTTACAGTCATGATGACACTAAACGAAATAAAGACTACCTTGAAATGAAACCTAACTACAAACGATAAACGAATTGAAGGACATTTTTGAAAAATTTATGAGTAGAAAATTGTTTGTAAATCTTAGAAAATATTTTTTAATACTTGAAAAAATGACTTTTCGATATCTTTAATTCGAAGCAGCGAAGATTGGGAGAGCATACATTTTGTCAAAAGAAAGCCGCGAAGATCGCAAAACGACATATGCATTGTCTCATTCTACATAAATCATATTCTAAATGGATCTGCGAATAACTGTCCGTCTTTCCGTCCATTCGTCCGCCCTTCCGCCTGCCTGTTTGGATGCGAAATAAAGGTATCTCTTTCAAGTTTGGCGAAAACGTTGAAAGCTGGGTTGGGATTATTGGGTTGCAGGACTTCAGGTATTGAGAACACCTCTGTTTTCTAAGTTTCTTTGTTCTATGCTTAAATACTCTAACGAATATTACGATAGAAGTGTCCCCTCACTTTGTGTAGGTAATCGAAACAGTAGACCCCGCCCATTCCGTGGGATAATTTTTAATTTTTCTTTTTAAGATCAAAGCAAAAGATATAAATGATCCCGTACAGCTTGAATATAAATCCTTCATTTAATATTAGCAACGTGTTTTTCAACAAGATTTCTGTTGTTTAAAGTTACAAATCTCTGCTGTAATTAAAAGCGCGCATGCACTATGAGAATTAAAAACCGATCTGCGATTGCCTTTCCTTTGTAACATACAATTAATTTTTTATACCCTGCGGCAAAGCGGATTACCATACAATAAGTGTGTACCGATGAGCGCAACACTCTGAATGACTTGTGATAGACGCACCTTTTACTACTCCGATCAGTTATCAGAATAATCTTCTGTCTTTCTGTCAGTTTTACTCCCTAAAGTCAGTTTGGTTACTATAGCGTTTAGGCTACCGTTGGTAATTTTCAAAATATTTTAATGAAACGATCTTTTGAACCCAAGGACAAAGACTCTTTCCATGTAATGTTGTAATGCTCAAGAAGGTTGTATATGAAAACAATTTTCCATATTTGACATTTCTCGATGAAACTCGCTGAGTAAAAGTATTCTGGCATGACAAACTAATTTTTTTTTTTTACTCTCAGGGGATATCCCCAATCAGTGTAATACAGTGACGATTGGAAGGAAGTGAAGAAAAAGAAAGCGAGAGGGAAGCGACCTACTTAACTGATGGGAAAAATTTGGATAAAATTAGGCGATATTTAAAACCCATCCTCCTCCTTCCCAACCCCACGTCCGAAACATAAGCTTCCATATAGCAATCAATTCAAATATTTAAGGTCTCATAATGAAAATCGCTTAGAAGCAAGGATTGGAAATATAAAAGTACTGTGCATATTATATCTGGCAATGCTGCACAAAATGCACAAAATCTCGGCTATCCTAATATATTAAGAAATAAGTATTCTTTGACTCATTGCAATGAAAGAAGTAAATGCAAGTTAATCTTAACAAAGTGTCTAAAGAGAACACAAATGCTTAGGTCGTCCCACTCACCCCAAAGGCAAGGGTAAGTAAGTGAGTGAACAAATCCAAGCAAGTTTTTGTTTAACAACAAGATATATATTTCGACTTTTTAGTGGTGCAGAGTATTGAATAACCGGCTTCGACCGACTACAGCCTCTTAATCTGTTTTTCTGCTTATTGGAAATTTATTTAGTTTCATGAAATGCTTCCCTTTGTTTGTAAACTGTCAGCGTAGCAATTGCCATTAAAAAGGTTGTCTATCGCAAGGACAACATTGCAAAATTTTTACAAAATATATTCAAAAAATATTAAATTCATGTTTAAAAATTTTTTTCATTGCAAAAAAGTTCACTTAAAAGAGATTTTATTGCATTCATAAGTAAAACACATCACGTTTTCGTCTCTTATATAATACCTACCATACGAATATATTTTACGTTTAAAAAAAAACAAGTAAAAAAATTAAATTCGGTCGAGACCGAATCTTTTATACCCATCACTGTGTACTCGAAAAAAAGACAAAAGAAGTAGAAGAACAAAATTCTCATGCTCTATAATATGGAGCGAGCGTAGCTGATTTCTTCTGTTTTCAAATTAAAAGTTTTTGCTTTGAAAAGTTTAGGTCAATGCCAAATTTTTCTGCAAATTTGTGGGCGATATTTTGATTTTCACTAACGTGAGAATGTTTACCACATATACTGCAAAATTACGCAAACGGACAGATGGACAGACGAACACGGGGACATGTTTAGGTGCATTCAAGATTTGAAACTTGCCAAGAGTTTGTATAAAATATAATTAAATTTTGATGCACTGTGATATTGGGCAGGCATTGTCATTTTTTTCCATTTTTATGCGTAGATGCTATAGCATCGTCCACAGAATATGCGGTCAAATTTTTGTACATTTATTTGTTAGAGTTTGTGAGTAATCAGCAAAAACCAATCTCTCATTCTCTTTGAAAAACGGAGGTGCTCTCAGTTTACGTGGTGCTGTGAGCGGGTCCTTCAACCGATTTCGCCCATTTTCAATACAAGACTGTCTGCAAAAACTTCCAATTTTTCTGCCAAATGTGAGGTCGGTACCTTCATTTTTGCGTCCAGAAGAAATTTTTGCAATTTACGATATTAAACAGACGGACAGACAGACATACTTAAATCGATTTAGCATTTAATGCTGATCAAGAATATATATACATTGCGGGGTCCCTGAAACTTCCTTCTGGGCGTGGCAAACGTTTTGACGAAATGAATATACCCCTCATCCTTGCTTGATGGGTATAAAAAGAACAGAATGCTTAAAAATAAAATTTTAATTGTTTTAAATGATTTGTAACTTTCTCTGAAACGGGTAATTAAATTGGTAGGGAATTAACTCTTGATAATATTCAACAGTAACTTTGAAGCATTAAAAGCGGAACGGTCAGAGTCGTAACACAATAGGGGATGGGTTGCACAAAGTAGACCTAACTGGTCCAAGTTTGTCAAATTAATTGTTGACCAAGTTTTAGTACAAAATAATAAAAATTAAACTCTAGGCTATATAAAGCTTTACTTGAATGAGACTTACTATGAAGTAATAAAAATTAGACTTAATGCTAAATAAAGGCTTACGTTTCGTAGGAACCGTCATACGGGAGGAAAATCTAAATATTTAGAAAATTAAAAAGTTTTAGACGACCCAGCACAATTGTGGTGTGGGATGCATTAATTTTTTCTGTTTTATATAACACCCGGTAGGATTTAGGATATTATACCGATTTAGGTTTTCCGACTGTCCACTTGTCTGATATTAGTTCATGCATTTTTTAAGGGTGTGAAGATAAATTCGAATTTAACTAGTAAAGACATCTACCATTTCAGTTAACATACCGCTGTTAACGACTTAACAGAGCTCATGTTAAGTACTTACAATTGAGATATAGTTGGTTTGAAAGCCTAATCCGTCCATATTAACAAAAAGAAAATATTTTTGTGGACATTTCATGAATCCATATAAAACTACCTTTCAAACAAACTAAAAAAATTCAAATTCTGCTTATGGAAACTATTTTTAACGGTATTTGAAATTCAGTATGTTAGCGAAACCTGCATATGAAAAAACACCCAAATTTGACACTC